TTCTTGTATTTTATCATTTGCATAAGACGTTTTAGGTATTTGTTATTGCATTATATTACATTTGTGTTTGCATAGCTTTAGGTTTTTGCCGCTTTCCCCCCGCCATATATTATGGCATCGCTTTTACAGACGAGACAATGAAACGCCGAGAGTAGCTTTGATACTCTAACTTTATAATTTATTTTAAAAAATTCCCAAAAATCTGACAAGGACGCTCATACCTACCGAAAATTGTGCTTGGAAGGATGAGGGTTTTTGTAGTCAAATTGAAACACATTTGTTTTTTAATTTTTCACCACGTGAATTAAAATATGTCAGTTTAGAGTCGAGGTACAGATGTTTATATACATCCGGGTCTGATTCAAAGTTTCAATGGAAAAACCCAAACAGATTTTACAATGTACTAAAGGGAGGTACGATTTCGTAATTTGAATTCTTGTTATTTTGAAGCTAGCGCATACCTCCCTCTAATTTACACAGTCACTCTTCACTGATCTCGAGGAATTATTTACAATGAACTCGTGTAATATTTCTTGTTGATATTCTTTGATGAAAAGACCCTCCTTTATGTCAACTTCTATAATTCTCAGTATATTTACAGAACGGAATAGACACTTGTTTTATCTGATCTGCATGCTCTTCGATATATAACGAACTTGACATTTCGTCACGTCTATTAGTGTCAAACCGCAGGAGGCTGTTTATAACTAAAAAAAAATCATCGTATAAAATAATCATTTTGTTAAAAAATTGTTTATATTGCAGCATAAAACTTGTCAAACAACCAGAACACTCGATATGCACTAGTGTTAGAATTAACATGAATGGAGTGTTACGTCCTACTTTTCTGCACCATGTGGGTTAAACCAGTGTTAGAGGGAATCAGTCTGGAATCATAGGACCAAATAGTAACAGGACAAATTTACCAATACATTCTTGGCCAATTATATTGTCAATAGCGTCAAACTCGTGCCAGGTGTGTTTCTTGATAACGTATTGATTGGAAGTTTGATAATATAATACACCTAGTTCATTGTAGTCTGAAAGATTCTTAAGTTTATTGGTTTATTTCCCTTCTTTTAAAGAATAAGAAAGTTCCAAGATCACATGTAAATAGTCTCTGACGCCCAAAACTATATCTGTCTACGATGAGGATATAATCTGGGATTTTTCGTTGAATTTTTCGACTCTTTCAGGGGGGATTATAACAAATAAGCATAATCGATCTACAAGTCTCAAACGACTTGTTAACAACCAAAACAAATTGGCAACTCCTACAAGTTTTGTCAGTTTATATATACATGTATATTTTATATTAATATTTTTTTTTTATCTACGGATGTCATATTTATCGATTTTTCGATCAAATTTTTGCCATCACTAACCAATCAATCAATCAATACAACCGACCAAATTCAATAGCCACTGTAGACTCGGTCAATTACCAAGATTTTAAGCAACCAGTTCAAGCCATCTTTCGTCGAAGCTGTAGTAAACAAAGAGAGACTTGATGATATTGATAGAGGCTAACATGAAAATGGCACAGTAATGTTAGTAGTCTGTGGTAATTAAACCATCGAATTCTCTCCCTCTTTTTCATTCTGCAGGCCTATTTTTGGTCTGAATTAAGATTATGATGTCTGAAATTGTTATTTTTTCAGATTTGTACGAAGAGTATAGAGAGTGAAAACAGTCGTTTCCTGTGTGACAGTGTTGATATAGTCTTGTTCTGTTGAACTCTCTTTCCATGTTTAATCCCGAAATACATCCCTTTCCTTTTCCACAAATCTCGTTGAAAACTTTCCAATATGTCACATGAAAGTCTGACCAATACTTAGGGTCTCAACAATAATTCAATATATCATAACAATGAAAATGAAAGTAGGCAAATCGAAAGTAGACCACTGCTGCAAGTACAAGAAACGACGATTTTCATCTTTATTCTTCCGCAACTAAATATCTTCATATAACTTCAAAAATGAAAGCAATGACAATAGCAACACCAAAATAACCTAGATAAATATGGCGGGTGTGCAAATAGTAGTAAGGATTCCAATACGAGAATAATCTGAAACCAATCGACTCAAAACATTAAGAGACAGATTCGCCATCCGTTCGACCAATCGTACCTTAGTTTCAGAAACTCAAAGCTTTAAGAGCACGTTACATGTTGTATTTTGGTGTTTAATCTTGATATTTACATACGTATTACTAGTTAGCAATCAGATAAGTCCTGTACCATCGTTTTAACTGGTTTTATAGACTGGTTAACATTTCACAATGACTACAAAATATCTCATTATCCAGCCTTTTATTCTCTGTACATCTATTACCAGCAATAACTGTTAAATATAGGGTGTTTTTTGTGATCATACGATTTCATAGAGTGATTTCGCTTTCGCCTAATTTTCGAATTGGTTACACTTGTTCACAGACAGAATTGTAAATGACCTAACATTAATTGGTGTAAACTGTTCGAAATCTTAGATTGCTGGTTGGTGATTTTGTAAAAAAAAATCCTACGAGACTATAGCAAAATACTAAATTCTGCAATAAACGTACTCTTTGTTTCTTTAGGTCTTTAGGTTCATTAACTGGAGTGTGTGGTTCCATCATCAATTCTACCACAAATCCTTGAATCTTGTGAGTTTCCCCAAGGCAACTTAACCCTAACCCTAACCCTAACACCTTGAACCCTTCTTGCCTGCTGACAATGGATAAGGAAAATTCTAAGCATCAGGAAAATCGATAGACAGATTATTCGCTCTTCTGTGTGCATACTACATATAAAAGTTGAAACGATTATTGTTACCTATTACTATGATACGACTGATTGAATAGAAAACAACAAAACACTGTATTCTGTAATTTTTCTTCTATAATTCGGAGCTCACATAAGGCATAATTTACATAACCTTTGTAAATTTGAGAATGTACAAAATATACGTAGTGGGTGGTTTCTTTAATGTTGGATTGAGCTTTATTTAACTTGGAATCTAAATACCATTCGGCATCACTTGGTAGTTATCGTAAAGCTGAATCTAGCTCGGTATTGAATGGAATATTTACCAATGGTTTGTCACGTGACTGTAACATTGCGAATAATACTTTTATATTATAGTCATTGGGGGAGAATGACAACTCTTACTTACTTTGGGCATTTAATGCCTTTTATGATTATCTGTTAACCAAGTGTACATCTTATATTGAATCAATATCTTGGAAGTTTAAATCTTTTAACGAGCACAATCACGTGATCACGTGACAAACTGCCTCTGGTACCAGTAATTACGACTACTATTAAAGACCTGATAAGTTGCAGAGCTTTAGCAAAGCTTTCAAGCTGGACCGTTTGTTTAAAAACATAACGAGTTATTTTGGAATCGAGTTTTATCTTGTACTCTACAGATTAAACACGTGATCCGGATTAGATATAGGAAGCAAGGGAGATTACCGGTTTCGGTTTATTTTCATCCAATCAGATTAGACTAATCCTATTACATCATCAACTAGCTGTATTGATTGACACTTCACTTCCATTTTTTACTTTTTACAGCCAATTCTTGAGCCAATGCCATTTTGTTTTTTGATCAGTTTTGATAATTTAATCCTAATTGCAATATATAATGTAAATATTCATATTAGTAGCTTTGTAGGCAATACAAATGGTTGCCCTGGTCAATAAACCTAGATACAAATTGATATTATTTGCTATGTGGACTCCCTGAAAGGAATGTCAAGTCGACGGATCTAAATACCAAATTAACAGTGTGTACTCTTGAAGAGGTGTTGAGCTGACATACTGAAAAAACAGAAAATTAACTACATGTAAGTGGGTTTTCTGAAAGAAATTCCAAGATTCTACACTCAATGCTTCCGAGTATCGGTCTGGTTTCGACTAAATCACTAAATTCACATATTTATATTATTACTTCCAATACTTAATTGGTTACCGAAAATTAAGAAACTCCATCTTGTTTTATTTCTCGGGCACAAAACCAACAGACAGTAAAAATAATAGGAATTGTTGAACCGTCTCTATTGAAACACATCATTACAGCAAAACCGACATTTTCATCATCAAAACTCGTTTATCTCCAGTCTTAATTCAATCCAAAATGAATTCTTTCGTTTCCTAGCTGAAAAATAGTAGTATAAATGTCAAGAAATTTGTACGTTAAATTAATCAGGAAATTTCTACTGTCGGTTTCGTGATGAGACATCGAATCAGAATGGACGACACATTTATCTTTTTTCAATATAGGTATATCGTTACATGGTCTGAACAATTCAATTACTTTCTGGGAATATATTTCACTTGTTAAAACGTGTATAAGATGTTATACAACATTCTCTTCTATAGAAACACTGGTCACAATTATTCACTGTTATAGAAGATACTCTCCTATAGAAACACTGGTCACAATTATTAGATGCTAGGGATGATACTCTCCTATAGAAACACTAGTCTAGGTCACAAGTATTAGGTGTTATAGAAGATACTCTCCTATAGAAACACTGGTCTAGGTCACAAGTATTATGTGTTATAGAAGATACTCTCCTATAGAAACACTGGTCTAGGTCACAAGTATTAAGTGTTATAGAAGATACTTTCCTATAGAAACACTGGTCACAATTATTCACTGTTATAGAAGATACTCTCCTATAGAAACACTAGTCTAGTTCACAAGTATTAGGTGTTATAGAAGATACTTTCCTATAGAAACACTGGTCACAATTATTCACTGTTATAGAAGATACTCTCCTATAGAAACACTGGTCTAGGTCACAAGTATTAGGTGTTATAGAAGATACTTTCCTATAGAAACACTGGTCACAATTATTCACTGTTATAGAAACACTAGTCTAGGTCACAAGTATTAGATGTTATAGAAGATACTCTCCTATAGAAACACTGGTCACAATTATTCACTGTTATAGAAACACTAGTCTAGGTCACAAGTATTAGGTGTTATAGAAGATAATCTCCTATAGAAACACTAGTCTAGGTCACAAGTATTAGGTGTTATAGAAGATACTCTCCTATAGAAACACTGGTCTAGGTCACAAGTATTATGTGTTATAGAAGATACTCTCCTATAGAAACACTGGTCTAGGTCACAAGTATTAGGTGTTATAGAAGATACTTTCCTATAGAAACACTGGTCTAGGTCACAAGTATTAGGTGTTATAGAAGATACTTTCCAATAGAAGCACTGGTCTAGGTCACTAGTATTTGGTGTTATAGAAGATACTCTCCTATAGCAACACTGGTCTAGGTCACAAGTATTAAGTGTTATCGAAGATATTCTCCTATAGAAACAATGGTCTAGGTCACTAGTATTTGGTGTTATAGAATATACTCTCCTATAGAAACACTGGTTTAGGTTACAAGTATTAGGTGTTATAGATGATACTCTCCTATAGAAACACTGATCTAGGTCACAAGTATTAGGTGTTATAGAAGATACTCTCCTATAGAAACACTGGTCTAGGTCACAAGTATTAGGTGTTATAGATGATACTGTCCTACAGCAACACTGGTCTAGGTTACAAGTATTAGGTGTTATAGATGATACTCTCCTATAGAAACACAGGTCTAGGTCACAAGTATTTGGTGTTATAGATGATACTGTCCTACAGCAACAATGGTCTAGGTTACAAGTATTAGGTGTTATAGATGATACTGTCCTACAGAAACACTGGTCTAGGTTACAAGTATTAGGTGTTATAGAAGATACTGTCCTACAGAAACACTGGTCTAGGTTACAAGTATTAGGTGTTATAGATGATACTGTCCTACAGAAACACTGGTCTAGGTTACAAGTATTAGGTGTTATAGATGATACTGTCCTACAGAAACACTGGTTTAGGTTACAAGTAATAGGTGTTATAGAAGATACTCTCCTATAGAAACACTAGTCTAGGTTACAAGTATTTGGTGTTATAGATGATACTGTCCTACAGCAACACAGGTCTAGGTCACTAGTATTTGGTGTTATAGATGATACTCTCCTATAGAAACACAGGTCTAGGTTACAAGTATTAGGTGTTATAGATGATACTCTCCTATAGAAACACTGGTCTAGGTTACAAGTATTAGGTGTTATAGATGATACTCTCCTATAGAAACACTAGTCTAGGTTACAAGTATTTGGTGTTATAGATGATACTGTCCTACAGCAACAATGGTCTAGGTTACTAGTATTAGTTTTTATAGATGATACTGTCCTACAGCAACACTGGTCTAGGTCACAAGTATCAGTTGTTAGAGAAGATACTCTCCTATAGAAACACTGGTCTAGGTCACAATTATTAGGTGTTATAGAAGATACTCTCCTGTAGAAACACTGGCCTAGGTCACTAGTATTAGATGTTATAGAAGATACACACCTATAGAAACACTGGTCTAGGTCACTAGTATTTGGTGTTATAGAAGATACTCTCCTATAGCAACACTGGTCTAGGTCACTAGTATTTGGTGTTATAGAAGATACTCTCCTATAGAAACACTGGTCTAGGTCACTAGTATTTGGTGTTATAGAAGATACTCTCCTATAGCAACACTGGTCTAGGTCACAAGTATTAGGTGTTATAGAAGATACTCTCCTATAGCAACACTGGTCTAGGTCACAAGTATTAGGTGTTATAGTAGAAAGGAAGTATTCTATTTGTGTACAGTTCTAGTATTTCCGTAGACTATTCACATATATTCAGACCCAATCTACTGCCTGAAGCTTCTGGGGGCTTTAGAAAACAGGATTATTGCCTCATAGAAAAACGGCCCCAGTCACGGCTGTAAGTTCTACTGATATATTGATAGCTAGTTGAAGTTATTGGTATGTAATGTAATAGTCACCTATAGAATAAACTCTACTGTAATGTGTCTTCTGTATTGATTAACAGGGTATATCATAATCCCCCTCTCAAACAGCAGATTAACTTTAATAAGAACTCAGCCCGGGGGACGTGAGGTAGTGAACCAGAACTTGGACTGGAGCATTCTACAGTTAACGTGATATCTTGAAGTAGTAGTTGGTCTGTAGTCAAATCCTATCTATTGATGCTAGTAAACTGGGGATTAAGAAGTAGGGATAATAAATGAAATTTCGTCTCATCCCGAATGGTGGACGGCAGACTTAATTCAGTAAAGGAAATAAGACATTATTTTACAAGGTTGTGAAGTCGGTCATGAGTTTTTATTTGATTAAGCTACGTTGACCTAGTACTATATGATATACGGTATCGGACCTGTGAATTTAACGATCTCTAGAATATCTATGCTTTTGTTGCTGCATAGTTTGAAAAGTCGGTAAAGCTTTCATATCGAAAAATCAATCAATATTGAGCAGCTACTATCAACTGGGTGAAAATCACATAATTCCGTTAAAAATACATTAAACTAGGACTTTTACTCACTATTTTTATATGTCTTTTCTAAAGAGTATCTTAAATTAACGAGTCGTCATTTTAACATTCAAACACAGATAATTCTGGACACACATGATATTATCGACAGTAAGCTGTGAACACTATTACTGATTAGCTCAGATAGAAAGTTCCAGTGTTTAAGACTAAAGTATTATAGCGCACCTATCCCTTTAAGGCTGACATCAATGTTTACTTGAAAGTAAAACATTAGCAACTGTTGGAAACTGTGGTCTTCGTATATGCTCAATCTGATAAGACTCTCTCATCAAAAATTCCCACTTTCTCGCGGTCACCATTTCTCTTGGATTCCACCCCTTGGATGCGATATTGACTTGAGCCCCCCCCCCCCCCCCCTCCACGTGTCAGCATGTTTTATACGAGAACTATATTTGGGTGTAAGTGTTGTTGGTATAAAGAAATTGTAATATTTTAACACTGAACAAATGGCTTGATATTGTTGTATGTGATATACAGAGTTTATAACAACGATTGATTAGATATTGGATAGTCCCTGAACGTTTTAACCTCATGCTTTCATTCTTGTATATACAATACATCACCATTCCCGATAGAACAACATTCATAGAGACGTAGAGTTGGTAAATCATGGAGGAATTCAAATTGATTTGGTGATCGTCAATTATTTATTGTCCTCTTTAATATAAATCATCGGTTTACCATTTTAACAGGTTTGGATTATAATTCTCAAGATTTACGGAATTTTCATTCCTATCAGTGATGCAGGCCGGTTTGGGGATGGGGGTCTAAAAACTGAGGTCTCATGTTATACAACCTGTGTACGTTAAAGATACATCAACAGTTGGAAAATCGACGAATAAAGGGCTAATGCAGCTGTATTGGCAACATTTCCCTTATTGCACACATGGCTTTAAACGTTTTTCGGTTTTCATTCGCCCATTTGGGTAGAGAAAAGTAGGACGTAAAACTCCATTTCATTTCGGCTTTAAACAATTTGAACTCGTGACACAATTCAAGCAAGTAAATATTTGTGTTATATTCACAAAAATAGTATATTCGAATATATATTATTAAAGTGCTCGAGAAAAGACTTCGCCGATAGTACCTGTACCCCTCTAAAGATCTTCTGTACCAATAGACCCATATACGAAACAGTTGTACGAGACAGTATAGCAAGCATTCCGTGTCGTAGCCTGTGGCCACCCTCATCACAGTCCACATTGTTACACACGCTCTGACACCTGTAACTGCTGCCAAGGGGTAGAAAGACATCATATCAACAGCTGGCTCTAGCGAAGAATGGTCTTACTTTGAACACGATGGTGAGACTATGTTGATGCTACTAAAATTACAGGTAGTGGCAAAATGATTTATCTTTCTGTAACCTAAGATGTTATCCTTGGACTGTATACAAAGAGTTTCTTTCATTCATTGTCGTGGGCGCTGACTACACCTATGAGACGCCCGGAAATGCAGGCCATAATGTTCATCAAGACAGCCTAAAAGCAAAAAACATGATCTTGACTGGGTAATTGAAGAAGGTAATCGTAACAGAAGTAGCTTTAATAGAAGGACATAATATTACCCTTTGGTAGGCCCCAGAATATGTTGTAAACCATTTTATATTGTGTTCCCCTTTTAGATACTTACTATGGTACATTTTTTATTTCATTTTTTATTTTTGTCCCTTAGTGATGGGTACAACCAGTCGCTATGGCTGCTGGGTCACTGCTTGTTGACTAGTTGTACCACACATTTATAGCTTTGATTTTGTGCTCAACCACATGTACCTTCCAAGTGATGTTACTGCATAAATGGAAACAACTCGACTCGACCTCGTTCTTATTTATATGTGAACGCTCGCGTTGTGACCTTTTGACATTCTTGTCGTTTTCTATTATAAACTTTATTAAAATAAAACTCACATGTCAATCAATATAGAACGAGATGTCATTTCACTAATTTTACTTGTCTCTGGTTTTAAACACAATAAATCAACATTTTAGCGCTAAAGACCTAGCTAGCTGAACAATACCCTCTTAACGACGCCGTGGGTGGTCCTAATCTCCTGCGCAGTCACGAATTCCTATAATGATAGTGTGAAAACAACCTGGAAAAGGACAAATATCTTCATTCTAAAAAGATTTTCCCTGCTAGAGTAATATACAAGTAATAAATTCTCAGGAAGGATCAGTCTGCTAGAATATTTCAAGTCCTTAATTTACAACAATAGCGGAGAACCTAAAACAATGACAGGAGTTGCATCCGTTCACTTTAATTAACTATAGTAGGATGTAAATTTTAAATATAGAGCGTATACACAAACTGATGAAAACTTCAGATAATTTGAAGGGGTAAGGAATCCGGTTCGGAAAATCTAGGATACATGTCACCAGAATTTAAGATTCAGATTCAGTTGTTCAGAGATTTAGTTGTTCTGAGGTTCAGTTGTTCTGAGGTTCAGTTGTTCTGAGGTTCAGTTGTTCTGAGATTCAGTTGTTCTCAGATCCAGTTGTTCTGAGATTCAGTTGTTCTCAGATTCAGTTGTTTTGAGATCCAGTTGTTCTGAGATTCAGTTGTTCTGAGATTCAGTTGTTCTCAGATCCAGTTGTTCTCAGATCCAGTTGTTCTGAGATTCAGTTGTTCTGAGATTCAGTTGTTCTGAGATTCAGTTGTTTTGAGATTCAGTTGTTTTCAGATCCAGTTGTTCTGAGATTCAGTTGTTCTCAGATTCAGTTGTTCGGAGATTCTGTTGTTATCAGACTCTGTCAGTCTCTGTATAACAAGGCGCTATGGAATGACTAGTTACAGTTTGCTATGAAGTAGTTAATAAGTAGGCTAGTTCTAAGTGATGTTAAATTAACCATTAACTTCCAATATCAAGTTATTCCAGTATAAATCGTTACCTGAATACCAAGACAAGAATTTAAAGCGATCGCTTTAACTTGTTTTAAAATGGCAGAGAATTTGTCAACTTTTTCTGGATCAATAGAAACCTAATTTACTGTAGTGATTGATGGATGTTTTTGTGAAGAGGGGACGGCAGTTGCTGGCTCTGATTTATTTCCTTTCTTCTGAGTTATTAGATTTTGTTTTTTGCATTTTAATACTGGTTTAAGTAACCGACAGAATGATAACATCATGCTCTTAAAAACACTGAGTTTCGCTGGTATGTCTCTAATAGACTCTCCCTACTCATCATTTGTTAGGGGTCATATCCTTGCTCGCTAGCCACACTCCATAACAATGCTTGTAATACACATTTCACATGTTGAATCAAGAGTTTAAAGCTAATTAAGAACAAAAATACTAATACCATACCTTCACAGTGGCAGCACCAGCCTTCCCAGACTGGGGGGTACAAATAGGGGGCAGACTGATCAATGGGGGGGGGGGGGGGTGGGGGACAACTGCTGAGGCAGAATTCAATTTTTGGCTGCTCTGCTTGCCTTAGAGGGTTCTATCATGAAAATTTCGAAAAAAAATGTATTGATTTTGTGCATTCTGACACATATTTTAGAGAAAAAGGGTAGACATTTAAAGATGAAATGGGCTGTACCTTCATGTGATAATTAAGAAAAAGATGGAAATTAGACACGATTCAAGAATTCCGTAATCTGTGAATCAAAGTCTTTAAAGCAGTAGTATGCAAGATTTTAATTATTAAATATGTTGTAAATTATACTTGAAAGAAAATAATTATAATTTCTACTCAAATTTAGTATTTCTAGTATATTTCTGTTGAATTGAACGAGCTGTACCTTTAATGTGATTGAAAATTTTGTTCGTGGTCTCCTTCAACTCCGTACTTTAATCAATCGATTGGTAAAACGTGATAATTATATTGGCGATTGTATCGATTAGGTCACTTAAAATGACCGTCAAATGACCAGCACGAAGTAAATAAATTTGGTTTGTTTAATTGAGAAAAACAGCTGTTGATTATTATCACTGCTAATAGTCCAAAACGACTGTTTATAATCTATCATTAAAACTGTTAATTAGCCTAATGAAGAATACCGATTATTGTACATCACTTCTAATTAATTGATCATTCAAGCTTTCTGCTATTATTGCTTTATTATTATAATGAAAAGTTAGAGTATTAAATCATCAAATATAATTTTTGGCGTGCCGTGTAGTAGAAATACTATAGATCATATTATCTAACAACAATATGACAAGTGGAAAGATACAACAAGTCAATGTTCAACATAGAATATCTCAGATTCCTCTACGTAGAAATCTTATATTATGCAGAGAATATCTTTCGACCATGGTTGGAAATTGGGGCGATTGGTGTTCCCCTCAGACAAAACACAAACTAATCCAGAGTTGTATTATAAATATGATTGAACGGTAAACTTCTTCATTTTCTTGTTTCAGTTGACAAATTGGAAACTTTGTTTGAATTGACAGATAAGTCAGTTTAATTTGACAAGTAACAGTTTGATTAATTATCTCCCCTGGAAGACTGATAAATGACCATTTAACGATGACTTGATCACCCTCTTCAATTTAATATTCAGTCATTCCTTCTGAATCGTAACGAGTAGCTACAGTATTTTAATGATAATGAGATACCAGTCTCTGGTCGGTGGTCAGTGGCAAGGAAAGTTTACTCAGCGGAGAAGGTTATCTTCAAACGTATTCAGCACTGGGCATTATATAGTTTGGTCTCTGATCTATGTTTTAAGGAGCACCCCCTCGATGAAAAGCAAAACGGTAATAAACTATGTATCTTTTTTACCAGAGGTCAGGGTTAATGATGTACAGGTGGTGCTCGCATGGGTCTTTAAAATAAAAGAATAACGATGATCCATGCAAATAATCTAAATATAATACTATATGCCAGTTATTGTGATTCTTACCTACAGTGGGAATATGTGCCGATTTACATTGTATATATTTAAAAACAGTGTTAAAACTTGACGTTTTTCAGAAAATATTATGAAATCGGTTTTTTTATAAAGATTATAAGAAAGCAAAGTTGATAAATCAAGAAATACTCCCTCAATTGACATCAATAAAAAAACAGAATTATTTCAAAACGTTATAACAAATTGATATCTCGGTGTACAATGGAGGACATGTTTTTTAACTCTCTAATTCATAATAAATCCTCTATGAATCATAATGTGAGGGATGAGCAGGTGCCATATTTATTGTCGAGGGAGCGGGTGTGCGAGCAGGTGCCACATTTACTGTCAATGAGGGAGGGGGGTGCCACATTTCAAGGTCGTATGGGGTCAGGCCGGACCAAGCAACCCCCCCACCCCCCCTTCTTCCCGACTCTCTTATTGCCTACTTCACACACACACACACACACACACACACCCTCACACACCCACCCTGACATGAAATAACTATTGTTGTAGAAACTCGACACTCAGAATCTAATTGTCTGGAAATTTTACTAAAAGAATATCTCGTTATATTATTTGCATCTGTCAATAATTAAAACCAGTGGAACATAATCTACTGTATTTTGTATATCAAGCAACAATCACATTAATGCTTTCAGTCGGTTCATTCTTTTATTTATGCTTGGACACCTTGTCAGATTGATCCCTGTCGTGTTTTAACCAATGAATGTTCTCAATGTCCCATTGTCCATGAAGCTGCCGTGGTAATTAGGCCAACGTGGAGCAGAAAAGGGAAATGCTATTATTTTGTCAGACAGAAACTATTAAAACTGAATTAAAATGAAGTAGTTATTTCCTCACACCTGCCAGTGAAGTGAAGGATATTATTTTAAATTAAGATATCTATGTTGTCAGAAATAAACTCGGAGTATAAATTGAAAGTAGAGTGTTATAATATTTTGAAATCAAGATTGTTGTTAACGAGAAAACTGGAAGTGTTAATTGGCAGGTCGATATCAATATTGTACCAGGAATATAATATCCGGTATCGATTGTAATTATTATATTAATTAAATAAGTGTAATGATATTGTTGAATGATATCGCTCTATTAGCTGGGACTTTAGGTTCTTTAGCACCGACAGTTAAAGTCAAGGTTAGGGGGGGGGGGGGAGTTCAACCTGGGGGTAATTTTTAAATTGTGGGGGTTAAAGATGTGCTTTGTAGTCTTACATAAAATATTTAATTCGTCAGGCTATATCCACCAGTCAACCCAGTTGTAACTAGGTATAGATTATCCAGGAAAGATCAATGTCAAGGAAGACGTTTGGCTAGGACCAGCTGGTTGACAGGATACTTAACGGTGAACGTAAGTTGTATCCTTATAAAATATACCCCAAGTTGTTTGTTTCCTCCTCTCTTTGCTTCTTTCTTCGGTAGTCTAAAGTCATGAGCACTATGAAAACCATACAGAAAGAAATACGTTAGAACACGATACCACATTTAACACAACACGGTTAAAATACTTCAAGTTCCAGTTCCAGTTCCTGTCCCACCCCAGCAAGATGATCTTTCTGTCCTTTCGTGTTTTGTTGACCAAAAGAATTGTTTCAACGTGTATTTTGAACTCATCGTATCACTCATCCGTAACATCTATACTGCTCTCCGTCAACAACTCGATGATTTGGATTGATCATTGTTCGTCCTAGGCTACCTACAAATACAATTAACTGCTCGTGAGTATGTTCTGATTAGGACCAGAATATTCATAAATATATTATTCCCAGCTATAATAGAATATCGCTTTTCTTAGTATTTTCGTGGTTGTTTGCGTAATGTTTGGTCCGTGATAGCTCAATAAACGTTCAGCACGAGATGGATATCAGATCGGAAATATTGTAGGTAATAAAACTGGCCGTAGTTATTGTTATTATACAGTATACTATTGATACCTGCTTATTAGTCCTATTACTGCTTCCATACAGTGAATAATCCTAGCATATTATTTTCCGTAATGGCCTATCTATGACGTCATAGGTGTGTATTTACATTTATGCGGTCTGATAGAATATTTCCATAAAACATTGCTATATCATTCAATTTCTATCCTGCTAGCTAGATTCAGGATGTTTATTGGAATCATATCATGTCTACCCTGTTGAATATATTCTGATTTAGAATGATACATGATAGTTTCACTCCTGGTGATCCAAATTTGATTACTATTGCAAGTTCCCAAAAAAGTTTGAGATATCCCGTCACACTTAACAAATTTGAGAAATGCTGTCAGCCTCACTTCGGCAAATGTTCTAGAATTATTGGAATCACGAGAAATTTGATTGGTGTAAATAGAATCTATAATATAGTATCCCTAATACACATTCACGAGTTCAAAAAAATCGTATCTACGATTGTTTGGAATAAGAAATGTGAAATTTTAATTCAATATTTTCAACATTAAGTGGTCTGTTTCGTTATATTATTCGAGTAATTGTGTTAAATGATGACATATTTTATCGTTTAACTTATTGCTGGTAAATGATGAAAAGATGAAATAAACTAATCAAATTACAAACCTGAAATTTAAAAACTTACTGTTACAGTTTGTGGGAAACTGAGGGGTGTTTTTATTTAATACCATCTAAAAGAAATTATTAATTTCTGATATAATTATCACATTAATATGAAAACTGAGTTTTGTTCTATGTTATTGATACACGCTATTCTGTGAGCGATTAATTAATGAAATGAATGGAGTATTACGTCCTTCTTTTCTGCATCTAAGACTGGCTACGCCTTGCAGATTGCAATGCGGGGAAATTTGCTAGAACAGGGGCCCTAACTTTCAATGAATCTTTAACATGCACAGCCTGTAGCACACGGGGCCTCGGTTTATTGAACGACTAGACGCTTTTTCCATGTCAACCCCTCTTACCTGCATCACTGATAAGGGTAAACCAGGTTGTAAAGAGCTCATCTCGACCATATTTCATATTCTGGAACTGGTCTAAAGGCAATAAATAATGTTGAACTATAAAACACTTTACAACAATTCCTTTGAATATTTTAATAAATGATGAAAACCGTAAATGCAGACACAACAAGAGTCCCAGTGTTACTACATGCTGACTAGATGTTTGGGTAGAATTTACTAATTGTCTAGAAGAACTCATGGAACTACAGAAGAAGAACTCTACAGAAGAAGAACTCTACAGAAGAAGAACTACAGAAGAAGAACTACAGAAGAAGAACTACAGAAGAAGAACTCTACAGAAGAAGAACTCTACAGAAGAAGAACTACAGAAGAGGAACTCTACAGAAGAAGAACTACAGAAGAAGAACTACAGAAGAAGAACTCTACAGAAGAAGAACTACAGAAGAAGAACTACAGAAGAAGAACTACAGAAGAAGAACTCTACAGAAGAAGAACTACAGAAGAAGAGTTCTGCAAAAGATAAACTACAGAGAAATTAACTCTACAGAAGAAGAACTACAGAAGAAGAACTCTACAGAAGAAGAACTACAGAAGAAGAACTACAGAAGAAGAACTCTACAGAAGAAGAACTACAGAAGAAGAACTCTACAGAAGAAGAACTACAGAAGAAGAGTTCTGCAAAAGATAAACTACAGAGAAATTAACCCTACAGAAAAAGAACTACCGTAGAAGAACTACAGAAGAATAACTGAGGTAGAAGAAGAACGAAGTATTAAGACACGGAAAAAGAAACAGAGCTCCCTTACTCAACGTCTGTGATGTGCATATTTTCCTCAACCTCAACAGTATACCTACAAAGAAGAACATGAAGAAGTGAGTTACCTAGGTCACAATATAAAACATATCGTAAGGGTTTGCTAAATGAATACAAACTAATGATCAGAACATTGGCCAAGCTGAGAAACAAACTGTCAAAGTGACGTCTGTGGTTCCACTTAAACTTTTTTTTTACTTTTTATGGCGTCACTATCGCAAAAGCTGTTAAACAATTATAATCAACTTTTGTGATGGTGACGTCATTTACAATTAAGCATTTCCATGATTACATCAACTATAAACATACGGAGGAGAACTAAAATGATGCAAATAGAAAACATAAATATACACATAGAAAAGTTCACTATTGTTTTTTTAGGACTATTTGTAGACATTGTAAACTATTTGTAGACAATGTAAACTATTTGTAGACATTGTGAACTATTTGTAGACAATGTAAACTATTTGTAGACAATGTAAACTATTTGTAGACATTGTGAACTATTTGTAGACATTATGAACTATTTGTAGACAATGTAAACTATTTTTGTAGACATTGTAAACTATTTGTAGACATTGTAAACTATTTGTAGACATCGTAAACTATTTGTAGACATTGTGAACTATTTGTAGACATTGTAAACTATTTGTAGACATTGTAAACTATTTGTAGACATTGTGAACTATTTGTAGACATTGTAAACTATTTGTAGACATTGCAAACTATTTGTAGACATTGTAATCTTTTTGTAGACATTGTAAACTAGTTGTAGACATTGTAAACTATTTGTAGACATTGTAAACTATTTGTAGACATCGTAAACTATTTGTAGACATTGTCAACTATTTGTAGACATTGTAAACTATTTGTAGACATTGTAAACTATTTGTAGACATTGTAAACTATTTGTAGACATTGTGAATTATTTGTAGACATTGTGAACTATTTGGTATTAAGTTGGTTATTCTGAACTCATACGATACTACGTACATGGAAATAACACACACGAACGTAGTACACAATTATTTTAAATCTCTTCCCCAACTTTAAAAATGATCTTAAATTTCAACTGAACGTTCAAATCAAGCCATTTTTAACCTTTAAATGTGATTTGAAGGCTTAGTTGAAAATTACAGCCTTCGATATATTAAGACGAGGAAGATATTTAAAATGGCTGGGAACTACGTTCGTTTCTGTTATTTCAAGGAACCATACGTAGTTTCGTACGTTATGGACCTAGCTCGGGAATTAATCCAACTCTCCTGTTTATTTCAGTATATCTATAAAAATATCAATATAATATCAGACCAGAAAGTTCTAAGTCCTTGACTTCAACAAAAAAAACAAAACTTTTCGTCGTGTTTTACGGTTTTCTTTTATCTTCTAAACGATATTTTCATAATTGTAATAAATAGTTCTCAAGGCCATTGAGGTACTAGACATGCTAATTAGAGATCAGTGTATACTGTCTAATTCATCTGAAAACAAGCATAATGAGTATCATTTCATTTTACAGAAAGTCCAAAATGTACAATAATGAGGGCTGCAACGATTCT